TTGGGATGGTGCAAAATTTACTATGCAGTGCCTTCACATTTTTATCTGGTGCTGATAATGCCTTTCTTACTCATTCTGCGGTTTTGTCCAGGGAGTTGTTGGGATTGTTGCTAGTAGAGACTTCACATTATAGGATTTTTCTATTTCAGACGTGATTTTCTCAGTTTTTCTAGTATATGCTTAAAAATAGATGAATTTTTATATCCAATTACCTTGTAAATTCATACTATTTTTTATGGCTGTGCTTATGCCTTTGCTTTAGAGTGAGTTTCTGATAATTGTGTATAAACTTTGAAGGTGGATGTGCAACTATTTAGAAAGTAATACATTTGTCTGTTCAGACTTTTGGTTTTGATGCTTTCAAAAAAATTGAGCGGTGGTGATACAGACTGTAGAAAATCTTGGCTAAAGTATTGATGTAGAACTCCTCAGGTTCTCTCTGGGTTTGTATTTGATCTTTCAAAGTTGTAAATGCAAAATATATTGACCCCTGGCTCTGAATTGCAGGCATTATGACATCCTTGAACACCGTGTGCCTTCTGGGCTTGTAGCTGATTACCGGAACTTGTTGTCTCAATGTGAAGAGCTTTACATGAAGTTTTTAAATGTGAGGAACAGCATATCAAGCAGTGATTCAGACTCAGAAGTAGAAAATGTCTCCATGGTGGAAGGATTAAAATTGTATGAGAAAATAGAGCACTTAAAACAAAAGCTAAAGCTAATTGAGAATCCTCTGCTGAGGTACTTGGTGGGTTTGTGCAAAGAGGGGGGCCCTATGGGAAACTACACATGGATGTTCTGTACTGAGGAAACAACTGATGGCTTTGTTGCTCTTGTTTTAGGTATGTGTTTGGTTACCAAAAATACAGTGGTCTCCAAGCTAAAGGACTGAGACCAACAGGTACCAAGGTCACTCATGTTGTATCCTCAACCATGACAGCAAGTCTGCTGCAGTTTTTGATAAGGGACAAACTTTGCCCTGAATCTTGTGGCGAAGAACTAGAAATACAGGTACAGTAACAGGAATTGCCTGTCTGCTAATTCTGTTTTCTCATCAAGAAACCATGTGTAAGACTAAGTTAATTTATCATGTGCAAGATACTGCAGTTACAGAATGTTATTTTTTGTCAGTCCAGAAAAAGTGCTGTAATTTGAATAATAAGCAGTAAGTCTGGATGATAAAAATGGTTTATTTTAATTCGTTTGTGTCTGAGTACTCTATACATGCAGTTTCCTTCCTTTGTGTAGGAAATAATCAGATAAACCTTCAGTAATAATTCTGTAGTGAAATATGGTAAGGTGTAATACTTACATTTAGTTTTGAAATACCTGTCTTTTGATGCTACTGATAATGATCTAGAGTTTGAAGAAAGAAATCATTCCATTGCTTTAGTACTGGATGTGGGAGATATATTTATTTTAGAGCAGTTATGTTTAGTTTTAGTGAATTCGGACAGGATTTACCACTTCAGCAGTTAAGAACAAACTGGATTCCTTGGGCTCAAATGAAATGACTTGCTGTATTCTATCAAGTTCATGAGTTACAGACAGGCAAAATGGAGCCACAGGGAAGGTTCTGGATTAACTTTTGGGCTATAAATCAGATTTTCTGACTTGGCAATTGAAAAATGCTCTCACTATGCTTATCCTGGAATTTGCTGGGAAGCAATAAATGTGCGATTTTTCTGTACTATTTGTTGTCCTTCAGTACAGAGTCCCCCAGTAATATTTATGAAGGATGTCAGCCTGCCCTCTTTGGGCAAGAAAAAGGACCATGTGGACCCCATATTTGCCACTGTAACATCTGAACTCTATTTGGGGGTGACTTGCACCAGGAATGAAGGGTTACGTCAGTGTTCAGACCAACTCAAATGTAGTTGCTGAGTTGTTTGTGGTTTTTTTATTTGCTTTACCTTCTGTCATCTATTTCTTCAGTAATTCGTGGCAAGTCACTTCAGGCACAGTTCAGATGTTGGCCTGGAACCAAGGCCATATTGAGGTTTGCTTTCTGGTCCACATGCTCTTCAATCTGTCTCTCTGCCCCAGTTTTCTCATGGGGAAATGGACATGACAAACATCAGAGGAATGTTTTAAGGCTGTTTTTGTCCAGAGAGTACGATGATTCTTGAATTCAAAGTAGAAATTATGTATTATTGGTGACATTAAAAAAGGTTTCTTTTAAGCAAAAGCAGCAATATTTAATTGAAAAGCAAGCTTTAAGGGCATAAATGCATCCATTTTTATAGCATTCTTCAGGAGCTGATTATATTGTTTGTCTTTTACAGTTTCACAATGATCCACTGGCAGCTGTAAATGCCTGTTACGAAGGAGACACAGTCATCATCTGTCCTGGTCATTATGTTATAGATGGCGTGTTCTGCATTGCTGATTCAGTTGAACTAGAAGGTAGAAGGTTTGCTAGCATAGAGGTCCTTGAAACTTGAGGGACTTGATTTTTTTCTTTTTTTTTTTTTTAAGTTCTAGGAAGCACAGAAGTCATTCTGAGAGGCTTTGGTTTTTAGGGCCAGTAACTTACGAGTACTTGAGACTTGTCCTTGTTCTTCACATGTCTTAATCTGCTTCAGAGGTATACTCTGAGACTCACTGTCAGTGTAGCGGTGGTGAATACAGAGGGAAAACTATTAGAACTTAGTTTATGGCACTTACTGCATGTCAGCTCTGTGTGGGCTACCGGTGTGAATCTGCATTATGTGAAGCACATGGCTAGAGGAAGGAGATGTTGAGTTAACATGTGCATTTATTCTGTAGAAACAGCCATGGCATATGTGATTCAATTTTTCTCACAAAGTATTTGTTTGAAATACTTGTCTAGGATATGTTGCTCTCTCTTTCTCCCAAATCTTGATTTCTCAGTGTAATTCCTCTGCTTTAGGCATACGTGCTTTGTTGCAGTGTAATAGTCTGTATCACTGGGGCTTGTGCAGCTGTTCAGATACTTATTTAGCTACGTTTTTGTCTTGTCAAAACTTCTTAATGGGAAGAAGGCTGAGAGTTTAATTTCCTGCTGTTCTAGACTTTTTTTCTTGCCCTTCCTGTTTTATGAGTGTCATTTCTTTCTCATCCTTCTCTTTGTATATTTGATTTATATAGATATGCACGCTGATAGATAATGCACCTGCAGGAGAAAGGACCTCAGTGAAGTGCTTTATTTATCTGACAGAATGGCATTGTTCTAAAATTGTGTGGGGTCATATTTATGACAATTGTTTTCCTAGCTTTGAGGAAACAATAATACGGATGGTGAACTAGCACACCTATTAAAGGATGAGCTGCTCTGGTTTAAGGAGCAAGGCATATAAATATGTATCTTTAGTGTGAACCAGCCTCTGAATAATGTATACGTGTCAGGGCATTTAATCTTCTTATAGGTACTTCTGTTAGAGAAGTTTTTATAACAATAGTAGCAGCCCAAAACGTTTGAAGTAAAAGCATCAAGAAAAATTGTGCTGGCAGTAATCTGAGCAGCTGGCTGTTTCTGTGGCATTTTTTTGGATGCAGGGGTGACTCATCAAAGATATAATGTCACTTTGCTTGGTAGAGCTTTTTTTTTTTTCTAGCCACTGTGCAAGTCAGTACTAAGGTTGAAAGTATGAGGATTAGTAAGTCAGGGATAAATGAAAACTTGTAAGAACTGAATAAGGTTAAAGCAGTAGAAGCAGTGGGAAATCATGGTGAGGATAACTTTAACACTTGACGTAAATGTGTAGCAAAGGCAACAAAGAACTTCCCTCTTGCTTGTACAGTAGTTGTTAAAGCTGGATGGGAACCTGTAGCATCAGCCCATCTAGTGTCTGTGATCGGTGTCACTGGATGACAGTTGCCTTTGGCTCCTGTGGAATCACTCAGCTTACAGGCAGGGCGTACAGCTGTGACCGTGTTGTGTACTGAACACTGGACAGCAGGTCAATCTTTCCTTCTCTATTTGTTTTGTTGCCAGCTTCCTCCTTACTGCTAGAGCTTCAGAGGTGAAGTGTAAAGCAAGCTAAAAGCGCGGTTAGAAAAGCTGCAGGTAGTCTGTAGGATAGTTTTTTCTAAAACTCCTGCCTTGGATAATAACCTCTCTGTAGTGGTGTGAAGTTAAACTAGATCTGCCATTTGCTGTCCCATGGTGCTCTCTTTTTACATACTGGAAGTAAATGGCCCCATGCCATATCCTTCCCAGGGGTGACCATAAATCAGTAGCAGTGGGAAAAGGTTTCTCCATAGTATAGTGTGTTGAAGTATCAATCACTTAACTTTGCATTAAATCTGCTGTCTTTAAAACTTTCTGCCCACTCTTGTTCAAAGGGTTTTTTTTAACCTTTCTTTTTGCACATTACAGTATTTCTTTATGTACTTGGTTAAAAGCTAGCATCCTGCTCAGGTACTTCTTATCTGAGTTTGTGTGTGCTTTCAGAAAATGATAGGACTCATGCTGCTTTAATAGACGTTGCATTATTGCTTTCCTTATCATGATTCTTGTCAGTGACAAGCAATAAAAGTGTTACATGCTCATAAATTTCCCTGCAAGTGGCTGGATGCTGACAACTGTGCATGGCTTAGTAAATCAATGTTGGCATATGCTTGTGAAAGTTTATTTTTAATCTGAATTAATCTGGAAGCCCGTGTAACACAGGAGCGTTAAATTTTGACACAAATTTCATTTTAATAGGGAAGTTGAGTGCAGTTTACTAACAACATCAAGTCCTTTGCACTTGCTTCTTTGTGTTGAGGTGGTGACTGCTTTTTTCCCTGGGCTCTTTGGAACCTCTGCCTGCTCTAGTGAGCTGTAGTTTGAAAGCAGACTGCAGGTGCCTATGTGTCCTTTCTTACTTTTGGGAATGAGAATTTTGGCCTTGGCAAATGTGACCTGTTAACCTTTTGTTCAACTGTCTAAAGTAACTTTGCATTTTATTGTGTGCCATTCAAGTAAGGTATCTTTTGAGTTTGGTTTTGAGGGCCTGTACCTTAGTACAGAGAGGTGTAGCCTGGCCACTGGGAGGAAAATCCTGTTCAAGATATTAGACCTCAAGTTTTAAACCTCGAAATTTAATTTAAATGTCTGTTATGTATGGAGCACCTGACTGTTACCAGTTATTCATCAAACTTGCATCTTTCACCTCCGCTTTAAGGCTATGGCCTGCCAGATGATATCGTGATAGAAAAACGAGGAGAAGGAGACAACTTTGTTGACTGTACAGGAGCCAATATAAAGATCTCCAATTTGAAGTTAGTGCAACATGATGCTGTGGAGGGGATTTTAAGTAAGTAGAAAAGCATCTTGACCTTATTGTGGATCTTTCATCTTTTACTGTTTTAAAGCTGGGACCCAGTGCTGGAGTTCACTAGTTTTAACAAAATGTAGAGAGGAGCCCCATAGGTATAAATATCAAGGCTTCCCTTTTTTTTTTAACTTATTTATAATGTGGACATCAAATTAACTTCTACTCTTTGTACATTCAAGCTATTATGGCTCTTGTGTTTTATTTTTATACTTGGATAAGATCATTCCACTTTAATTTTTCTGCTGTTAAGGCAACCTGACTGACTGCTTCACAGTCTGTGTCAGGCTGCCTGGAAAAGGAAGTAATTCCTCTCTCCACAAAAGAACCCCCATGACAATATTCAGCTGTAGCTGAACCCAGCCAGCTCTCCACTGAGGAATGACACGGGCTTCAGAAGTAGTGTAGAACTTTGCTGACAGCACATTCAAACTTTGGTTCAAATAATCTTAAATTGTATCCAATGAGTTTTTTTGCCATGACCTTCTGTCTTTGCAGAACGTGCTCATTAATACTTTGCTTCAACAGACATTTGGTTTTAAACATGTTAAAATGTTTTTTTAACAGCTGTATACATGTATTTAGTATCTTATTAATTCAAAAGTCTCTTAGGAATTAAAAGAATAGTTGCTGTCACCTAAAAAAAAAAAAGCCAAAAAAAACCTCTAAGACAAATCTTTGACTAGTGCTTCCTTGCAGCAGTGTTCCTGCTTATACTGGGAAAATAGCATGGGTTCAACCTATGCGTGAGCAAATCAGTAAGATTAACCTGAAGTGGATAAAATAGTAATTTTATCATACTGCAAAAATGCTACAAGCCCATCTATCTGCAGGAGGGGCTTGCCTTTGCATAACTGACTCATGTAACAATGTTTGTCTTCTGTGTCTATAGATGTTCATCATGGGAAAACCACCCTGGAGAACTGTGTGTTACAATGTGAAACTACAGGCATAACAGTACGAACATCAGCTGAGTTAGTAATGAAAATCTCAGACCTGTATGGTGCCAAGGTACAAACAAATTCTTAACTTTGGCTTATTTCTTAAAATAAAGGTTTCTGCTTGGAAATAATACAGTCAGTAACGAGGTGACTTCTGTCGCTCTTGAGAGAATAATTACAAATTCAATTTGGACAGCTACATGTTGTTGAGTTTGAGATTGGTCCCAGCATTCTTGTTAACCTCCAGTAGTATCTAGTGAAGTGTCTCATTCTGATTTGTGTGTGATGACATGAAAATGCTGTAGTAACAGGGGGCATCTGTGAAATAATCATTGCTGAATTGCTGGACTGATTCATGTCCTGCAATACTTTTAAAATGATTCTCTGTTTTCTCTGCCCATAAATAATTTTCTCATTAAAGTTTGCATTTGTTCTGCAAATGAAATGCCCTTTTTGGACACCTTGTCCATTAATTCTTAAAGAAGCATGATAAACACCAAATTGAACTTTGATTAGGACATTTTGAAGACTGATGGGGCTTTGAGTGTTGAGGTGGATGAGTAAAGAACAAGAAAGTAATGCAAGGCTCTGCAGTTACTCTTTACCGAAGCTTCTGTGGGCTGGTGACAATATTATCCATGGGGTCTCAACCTTGAGAACTGCTGCTTAAGTTGGTTAACAAAGCTGTGAAGCTGGAGTGGTTACACAATTTTGCATTGTGCAAGCTGGGAGATGAACACAAAGATCCACAATGGAGTTGTCAAGTTAAGTTGGAAATGTGCTGAACTACTTGTGAACTGCTGTCAATTTTATCTTGTAGGGTGCTGGTGTAGAAATATATCCGGGTAGTACATGCACCTTGTTAGACAACGGCATACATCACTGCAAGGAGGGAATACTTATAAAGGTCAGTTCAAGGCAGAATGTACTTGTTTTTCATAAGCTTACAGCTGCTGGAATTAATGCAGATAATTGGTGTTTAGGTTGGCTTATAACCTTGTTGTCTGATGGTGGAGTTCTTGTATGTCACAAATGATGATAATGGTACTTGTCTGCCCTGGGTTGGTCCACCAAAGCAGTGTACTTGTTCTGTTTCTTACCTGCCAGAAAGAAAATGCCTTTTGCAATGTCACTTGCATGGGTAAATAACAAAATTCTAGCTGATACGTAGAACTGATTCTACCTAAAACTGCAATATTTTGCATCCCTTTAGCTGAGTGTAACATGTCGGATTTTCATTTCTTTGCTGTAGAACTTTTTAGATGAACAGTATGACATCCCCAAGATAACCATGGTCAATAATATGATCCATAATAATGAAGGATATGGTGTGGTCCTGGTTAGACCAACAATGCCCTCTGATGCAAAGGATGCTTCAGCAGAGAGAACAAAAGGTATTCTTCTCTTCCTAGAAGAAACTCCTAAAACTAGTAAATCTAGTATACCCACGTTTTTGGATTGCATAATTCATAATCAAGTCTCTTAAATTTTCTAATAATGTCTAGATTGATTTAGCTGAAATAAATCTTAACTCTCAGAACCCTGGAATTTCCTAAAGGATGAACTTGCTGCAGAGAAATACTATGAATGTCTGTGCTTCGTGGTGTGTGTGCACTGCCATTGTAAAGTCCCTACATACCTCATCTGTGCTCCCTACACAGCAGAGACTGTATTGACTGGTGCCCTCCTTGGGTCATACAGAAACAAGAGGGCGACCAGCAAGAAAGCAGATATGGCTTCTCTTACAGTTCTTCTGGTTCGTGATAATTCTCTGCTCATTTTTCTTTCATGCATTAGAGCTGAGATGTGCTCCCAGCACATGATAATTCTCTGCTCATTTTTTCTTTTGTGCATTAGAGCTGAGATGTGCTCCCAGCACACAATTTTTTCTCTGCAGTAAATAAAATGTGTCAACTGTATTTCTCATATTATGTCTTATTAAAGAAGAATTGTCACTAAGTGCAGCATGTAAACCCAGTGTAATTTTCTGTAATATCACCATCATTTGGCAACTTGAAGTCGTCTCAAGAAGAAACCTTTTCCTTAAGCATCTTATACTGCATTTGGAATATTTGTCTGTCACTGAGTAGTTGTCCAAAAAGTGAGTTGGGATGAGGTGAAAATGTTAAGATTGAAGAAAGTGGAATTCCAGGAGTTTTAAGTTATTTGACTGTTTTGCATGATTGTTGAAAAGAACTCATTCTTATTGTTTCCTGACTTAGGGAATGCACAGCCTACCCAGTCAGGGGATGGGACAGCCTGTGTAGAGGGCTTCAGGCAAGAAGAGCAACCTGAATGTATAACTGATGAGTTGGAACTTTATGAGCAAGCTGAGATTCCTGAACAAATTAAAGGCAACTACGACATTGCAAATGAACTCGGGGTTACTTCTGCAAAGAAGAGCCAGATGCACAAGAAAAGACTGAGTGAACTGGGAATTACAGCTGATGACAACTTGATGTCACAGGAAATGTTTGTTTCTATTGTGGGCAATCAGTTCAAATGGAATGGGAAAGGAAGTTTTGGTACCTTTCTTTTCTGACTGTCCTTACTCCTAATGGCATTGCAGTAAGATTTGCACAAGCTATTATTTTCACTGCTGCTTTACAAGGAGTTAACTTGTTCCATTAGCCTTCCATAATGTTACTAAAATGTGAGAAATATTTATTGACAGTATATATGCTGTGTGTGGAAACATTGCTTCCTTGCTGTGAGTATGGATAACATGGTAGAAAACAAAACTCTAGCATGCAGACTGTGCGTGTATTCTGCTAATCTATGTGCTGCTGCTTTCCTAGCTCTCCGATGGATTTTTTTTTTTAGTGTATTTATTTAACATCTCATTGTATAAAAAAAGTCTTCAAAGAAAAAAGATAGGGTTCATCATGGAAGAGTGTACAACAAATGTGCAGGAATTAGTGATGTATCTCCATTTTTTTGAAGTGTCATTAGTCTGCGTCTGACTCTCCTATAAAAGGCTGACATTTTTACATTGAACAGAAGCTAGTGACATGCTCTTCTTTAGGACTGTAGTGGCTGGCTGCCATGTTTCATACTTGAGGGATTTTCCAGAGAACTTAGCATTTGGAAGGGTAGCATTGTTCAGGCTTCTGTGTCTTTCTGTGCCCAGCTGTTGGCTTCCAACAGCTGCCGGTGCCTGTGCATATTTCCTTAGGGAGGAGAGCATCTAACTAAACTCCATTAATCTGAATAAAGAGAAATTGAAATAGATGTATCTATTAGTGGTATTCATACTATACCTTTCAGTGCATTATTCTAAAATTTTTAAAACTATATGCCTCTTGTAGCAGCTGAGGTTTTGGAAATCAATGGAAAATTTAAAAAATTACTTTCCACTGCAATCTTATCAGCGCACAGCTGTGGAACATTAAGTAAAACAAAGGCACTTCAGTGGCTCACTGTTGTACATCATTAGTTTTTACTTGAGGGAAAAATTGGAAGGACTCCTTCTCAGGGCCTCTCTGATTTTTAATTACAAATCTAGATGCTGCCTTCAAATGTTTGTACTGTCCTCAAGAGTTGTAGGTCAGTTTTTGATCTGGTGTGTGAAATGTATGTAGGAAAATACTAAGTGATTCAGTATGTCCTATGAAACAGAATCAAATATGGTGTTAAGAAGGGAAAAGCATATTGTCGCCGAGTTGACTTTGGAATAATTTCTGAAAGCAGCTTAGCAGGTGTGTGCCTTCACTAGAAATGAATGCATTGCCTAGAAGTGGATGTGAATAGTCTGATCCAGATTTTTCAGTCTAGCCATTCTTAAATGGAGAGGACAATCAAAAGTCACTTTAGTACATGATTTGTTTTAGCGTGAGCAGCTGACAGAAAGGAAAAGAGGTGCAATTTATAAGCATTCTTTTTTCCAGTTATGTGAACCACAGAATTCATTGCAGCTTTCCTGGCCCACTGCTTCTGCTTTTGTTCTGCTCAAGACACTTGACTTCAGGACTAAACGTTGTGTTTTGTTGAACATAAATGCCATTGCAGTATCTCAATGTGTACAAATGGATGTTTGCCACTTTCAAGAAATACTTGAGTCAAGTGAAAGCCTAATGCTAAGACGGGCAGTAGGTTAGTATCTTAGGCTATTCATCAGGTCACATGCCGTGTTTCGTGCTTTGATGTTATGCCTCTATTTCCAAAGTGTAATCCTTATTAAAGGACTGGGGCTAAAAACTAATTTTGTGGTTCTTTCCTCTCATCTTTTCAAAACCATAATTCTCCTGAGTGAGCTGCCTTTGTGATGCATAGGTAGCATTTCTTTCCCTCGCGCTTCATTTTAAGCCTCGTTTATCTCTTGACAGCCTCTTATCTCCCTTTTTTTTAAAATTCAGCTTTACGTTTACGAAGATACCAATAAAAATGTAACTCTTCTGCTTTCAATACCAGCACAGCTTTGCCTGTTCCTGTGCCAGATGCCAACAGTGATTCCATTGTGCAGGCTGTCAACAGGTCAAGGAGCAAAATGTGGAAACGATGAGGCTGCTAGTACAACTTCCAGCCATTTCTTTTGTACAGGAACTGTATGATAAAATTGTGGTTAAGTTCTTGATGACACTTGAGCCTCAAGGGACTAAGCTTTGAATGGAGCTTTCTCATCTCAGGGTTTTGTCCTTATGTCAGTGAGAAGTGTTTATTTTGCAGCTTTAATTCCCCTTTGGAATGTGGAAGGAGAAATGTTTAACTATGAAGAACTGTTGACTAACACAAGATTTTTACGCTCAACTTGTATTGGTGCAGTTTGTTAGCTGATTATATGTTTGAAATTATAAATTCAGTTTCTCCTCTGTAAATATTTTTCTTAAATTTTATTTTTTCTTACATTTTAACATTTTCTTTAGTTTCTTAATTTTTCCTTAAAAGTGTTTGATGATATAGTGATGAGTAATGATACTCTAGTCTCTTTGAACATTCTCTGCCTCCTAAATGAGAAACTAATTCTGAATGCTTTCTTCTGTAGCTGTCAAAGAAAGCTGGAGAAAACATTTAGTTTCAAGAAATGTTTAAGCAGCTGCAAAATAACTTTCTCCCAGGATGAGATTTCCCCATCCTATGTATCTGGCCTGTTGTTCCTGGACTTATTACATTTTATGCTTATTAAATGTGCAATTAAGTTTACCCAATGGCTTATCTAGTTTGTCCTGGCCTTGTTTTATCTGGCCTTTCCACTATTTATTCCTTTCTCAAATCTTGGCAACCTTGAAGTTTGTCTTTAACCTTTTCCCTGTCCCTGCATGTCTTGTCCCAGCGTATCATACCTGCACCCTGGACAGTAATGCATGACAAATTGTATTAATCTCACCTTTCTGACAGCAAATTGGATCTCTGTTCCTGTTTTCTTAATCCACTTTTTTCCCAAGGATTTCTAAACAACACAGATTCTGGTACTTAAGCATAGACATTTACATGTCTTCATCTAGGTTAATAAAAATGATACATTCTAGGCTTCCCCTGGATGAGGCAGTGCCGTTCCCGGAGCTTGTGGAGAGTTAGAGCAGGAGGAAATGCCTCAGCATGAGTTGGGGGGTGCAAAGCCAAGTCTGAAGTAACTACTTTCTTTCCCTGTGATCAATCAGTGTGTTGCTTGCAGCACTTCAGATAAGGAGGGGAACTGCTGAGCTTCAGATAAGCTCTACATTTGCTACAGATAACCACGTTGCCTTACTTCTCACTCTTCAGGCTGGCTTCAAAAGTATCGGGAATTACCCAGCCAGTTATTGTACAGAACACTGTATTCCTGGTCTGAAGAGTACTTGGAGTTTTATGCAGTTGGAGTGGTAGGGAGATAACCTTTTTTTTTTAATGCTAACAGTCTTTCCCATCACAGGGGGATTTTTTGTTCGTTTGTTTTATCTATGCCTTACAGCAGTTGCCTTTTCCTGTGGATAATGTGATTAAATCAGAAGCCTGTTTTAGTAAACCTGGTGTAACCTTAAAGAGAGACTGCTTCCAGAATGGTCTAAACAGTGGTCATTACATTCACCTGGAATGTGTGAGGATCGCATTCAGCTCTGTTAATTATTTACACAAAATAGAAAGCTTAAGCAAGAGACTGAAATCTTAACCTTGGAGTGAGTAGCTCAGGGGTTTGGCAACTGCTGGTCATGGGAGAGGTCTGATTTGAACAGCGAGAATATGAAGCTAAGTAAAATTTGAAAGTAAATATGATGTGAGTGGTTTGTTCCTAGTGCCACTGGCTGATCTGAGGGGCGTTTTGTTCTCTGCTTTTGGATGTCATCTCCTGTTCTCCCACCACACCCTTGGGGGGCAGGGGGTCTGTGCAGGAACAGAGAATCTTTATTACATGTGAATGTCATGGCCAAAGATGTTAGAGCTCTTTCTAGATGCACCTCTGCTAAGGCAAGATCAGCAAAAAATATTTTGCTTAGGTATTTCAGTGCTATGTGGCTCAAAATTGCACTTTTACTAGCATACCTTTAATTTCAACCTTTCATTTTTATTTAAAAAAAAAAATCTTAGCAAAAAGGATAATTATGCCAAATTGGGATTTTGTAGTAAAAGGATAAAGCTTTGGCCAGAGTTGCATCTAAAACAATTACAAAATGTGATGGTCCTGGCCTAATTGATGGAAAAATCCAAACCAAAATGAAACAAACCCCTGTGATTGACTGCTCGCAGTTGAGATGATACCTGTTGGTTTTCATGTTTTGGTTTTTTGGTTTTTTTTCATTACAAAGAAAGGGCGGAGAGAAAGGAAGATGGGGAAGGCTAGTAATTTTGGTGGGTTAGAGGCTAGCATATAAAGTAACCACTGTATTGATCCATTAATAAAAGAAAAGGAAATTGAGGAAATAGAAATTAATGTACGTGTCCAGTAGAAATCATTTCAGTGCAGGTCCTAATATCACTGTCCAAATACTTGTAATGTTACAAATGCCTTGGAAGACAAAGCTCACAGCACTTAAATGTGTAACAGGCCAGGTCTGTACAGATATTGAGACAACTCAACAGTGCACTTGTTGGTGTCGTGTGTGCAGGGTAATAGGCTGGAGGTGTTGGACTTCTCGGTGCTCAGCAGTGCGAGATTCTGAAAAGCTCCTTGGCTCAGAGTTCCTCCTTATGCCCACGGGCAGGCAGGTTTCTTAGTTTACTGACTGAATCGATCATCCAATTCCAGCAGAAAACCCATTGTTCCTTTTTACACATGCTTTCATCCCTGTGGCTCATACAGAAGCATCAACAAAGTGTTCAGGCTGATTTCAGCTGCTTCATCATGCTTGTTTCTGGTTGATCTGGACTGACTCCTGGGATTGCTGCTCTGTGTAGGTCCACCAGCAGGCTCTGTGGTCTGCAGGCTGCAGTTTGAGGCAAGCTGTATGATGCACTTGTGTAACTTCTGGTAAATGATGGGTGTGGTCTTAAGGTAAAACCTTAATCTCTCAGCAGAAAATTAAAATTTGAAAGCAGCAGTGTAAGAGCAGTACCACTTGAGAGTCCTCAAAGAGCCTTTCAGATCCTTCCTTCAAAAGCTGATTTTAAAACATGCCCTTTTGTTCAAAC